TGACCACGATCCCTTCTTGACCTGAGGACTCGAAACAGGAGGACTACTACGAATCCTCTTGTTTTTCCTCGGTCAATCGCCGTATCTCCATCTTCGTTGCCCTCAATTCCTCCTTAAGTTGCTGTAAAGTTGCTCGATGGAGGGCATCTTGGTTCAGTCCAGGGGAGCAAACAAGACACTTCTTCACAGAGTTAAGTACAGGTCAGCACTCAAAGTACAGGTCACCACTCAAGAGCACACAAACAGGTCTTCACTGAGCTAAGTACACGTCACCACTGAGAGCTAAGTACACGTCACCACACACACACACACACACACACACACACACACACACACACACACACAACACACACACACACACACACACACACACACACACACACAACACACACACACACACACACACACACAAATACTGAGAGGAAATTTACAAGGTGGACAAAGACAGGATGTTCCAGAGATTGGACACAGTAACAAGGGGACACAGTTGGAAGCTGAAGACACAGATGAATCACAGGGATGTTAGGAAGTATTTCTTCAGCCACAGAGTAGTCAGTAAGTGGAATAGTTTGGGAAGCGATGTAGTGAAGGCAGGATCCATACATAGCTTTAAGCAGAGGTATGATAAAGCTCACGGCTCAGGGAGAGTGACCTAGTAGCGATCAGTGAAGAGGCGGGGCCAGGAGCTCGGACTCGACCCCCGCAACCTCAACTAGGTGAGTACACACACACACACACACACACACACACACACAACACACACACACACACACACACAAAATGACCGTGAAGTATGTGAGGAACTCAACAAGAGATTCAAAGAAGTGTTCACAGAGAAGACAGAAGGGGCTCCAGAAAGACGGAGAGGTGGGGTACACCACCAAGTGCTGAACACAGTGCACACAACCGAGGAAGAAGTGAAGAGGCTTCTGAGTGAGCTAGATACCTCAAAGGCAATGGGGCCGGATAACATCTCTCTATGGGTCCTGAGAGAGGGAGCAGAGGCGCTATGTGTACCCCTAACAACAATATTCAATACATGTTTCGAAACAGGGGGATTGCCTGAGGCATGGAAGACAGCAAATGTAGTCCCAATCTTTAAAAAAGGAGACAGACATAAAGCACTAAACTACAAACCAGTGTCGCTGACATGTATAGTATGCAAAGTTATGGAGAAGATTATCAGAAGAGTGGTGGAACACCTAGAAAGGAATGATCTCATCAACAGCAGCCAACATGGTTTCAGGGACGGGAAATCCTGTGTCACAAACCTACTGGAGTTCTATGACATGGTGACAGCAGTAAGACAAGAGAGAGAGGGGTGGGTGGATTGCATTTTCTTAGACTGCAAGAAGGCGTTTAACACAATTCCACACAAGAGATTAGTGCAAAAACTGGAGAACCAAGCAGGGATAACAGGGAAGTCACTACAATGGATCAGGAAATACTTGTCAGGAAGACAGCAGTGAGTCATGGTACGTGGTGAGGTGTCAGAGTGGGCATCTGTGACCAGCGGGGTCCCACAGGGGTCAGTTCTAGGACCAGTGCTGTTTCTGGTATTTGTGAACGACATGACGGAAGGAATAGATTCCGAAGTGTGCCTGTTTGCAGATGACGTGAAGTTGATGAAAAGAATTCATTCGATCAAAGACCAGGTAGAACTACAAAGGGATCTGGACAGGCTGCAGACCTGGTCCAGCAATTGGCTCCTGGAATTCAACCCCACCAAGTGCAAAGTCATGGAGGTTGGGGAAGGGCAAAGAAGACCGCAGACGGAATACAGTCTAGGGGGCCAGAGACTACAAACCTCACTCAAGGAAAAAGATCTTGGGGTGAGTATAACACCAGGCACATCTCCTGAAGCGCATATCAACCAAATAACTGCTGCAGCATATGGGCGCCTAGCAAACCTCAGAACAGCATTCCGACATCTTAATAAGGAGTCGTTCAGGACCCTGTACACCGTGTACGTTAGGCCCATATTGGAGTATGCGGCACCAGTCTGGAGCCCACACCTAGCCAAGCACTTAAAGAAACTAGAGAAAGTGCAAAGGTTTCCAACAAGACTAGTCCCAGAGCTAAGAGGTATGTCCTACGAGGAAAGGTTAAGGGAAATCAACCTGATGACACTGGAGGACAAGAGAGATAGGGGGGACATGATAACGACATACAAAATACTGAGAGGACTTGACAAGGTGGACAAAGACAGGATGTTTCAGAGATGGGACATAGCAACAAGGGGACACAGTTGGAAGTTGAAGGCACAGATGAATCACAGGGATGTTAGGAAGTACTCCTTCAGCCACAGAGTAGTCAGGAAGTGGAATAGTTTGGGAAGCGATGTAGTGGAGGCAGGATCCATACATAGCTTTAAGCAGAGGTATGATAAAGCTCCCGGTTCAGGGAGAGTGACCTAGTAGCGACCAGTGAAGAGGCGGGGCCAGGAGCTTGGACTCGACCCCTGCAACCTCAACTAGGTCAGTACACACACACACACACACACACACACACACACACACACACACACACACACACACACACACACACACACACACACTCACTCACACAGGACTTCAAAGAGACCTGGACAGACTGGACACCTGGTCCAGCAAATGGCTTCTCGAATTTAATCCTGCCAAATGCAAAGTCATGAAGATAGGGGAAGGGCACAGAAGACCACAGACAGAGTATAGGCTAGGTGGCCAAAGACTGCAAACCTCACTCAAGGAGAAAGATCTTGGGGTGAGTATAACACCGAGCATGTCTCCGGAAGCACACATCAATCAGATAACTGCTGCAGCATATGGGCGCCTGGCAAACCTGAGAACAGCATTCCGACACCTTAGTAAGGAATCATTCAAGACACTGTACACCGTGTATGTCAGGCCCATACTGGAGTATGCAGCACCTGTTTGGAACCCGCACTTGATAAAGCACGTCAAGAAACTAGAGAAAGTACAAAGGTTTGCAACAAGGTTAGTTCCAGAGCTAAGGGAATGTCCTATGAAGAAAGATAAAGGGAAATCGGCCTGACGACACTGGAGGACAGGAGGGTCAGGGGAGACATGATAACGACATATAAAATACTGCGTGGAATAGACAAGGTGGACAAGGACAGGATTATTCCAGGGAGGGGACACAGAAACAAGAGGCCACAATTGGAAGTTGAAGACACAAATGAGTCAGAGAGATAGTAGGAAGTATTTCTTCAGTCATAGAGTTGTAAGGCAGTGGAATAGCCTAGAAAATGACGTAGTGGAGGCAGGAACCATACACAGTTTTAAGACGAGGTTTGATAAAGCTCATGGAGCGGGGAGAGAGAGGGTCTAGTAGCAACCGGTGAAGAGGCGGGGCCAGGAGCTAGGACTCGACCCCTGCAACCACAAATAGGTGAGTACAAATAGGTGAGTACACACACACACACACACACACAGACACACACACATACACACACACACACACACACACACACACACACACACACACACACACACACACACACACACACACACACACACACACACACACACACACACACACATGTTAGGAGCGACCAGTGAAGAGGCAGGGCCAGGAGCTTGGACTCGACCCCTGCAAACTCAACTAGGTGAGTACAACTAGGTGAGTACACACACACACACATACACACACATGTGCGAGGACCAGAAATCTAGGATACCAGAGCACAAAAACATATTGGAATCTGAAAGAATGTTACACCAGTACAGACGGAAAGACCGAGGAAACAGTAAAAGGAGGAGTAGCACTGTTTATAAGATATCAGTGGAGTTTTGAGATGGGAAGAATGACCAGAAGTAGGCGACTATATAGTATGACCAAGGTTGTGATAACGGTAACGTAAATCCCCCCACTAAACAGTCAAGACACGAATATGTTGAAAGGAACAGAGCAATGACGGATACACAAGCTGAGGCGGCCAGACGGACCCACAAGGACAGGAGAAAGCTACTGGTCATGGGACGCGTAACTTTAATAAGGAGATCGACTGGGAGAACCTAGAACCAGCAATGGAAGGACTTGAGAAGCCAGACTTCAAAAGAGGGAACTACACAGGCCCGAGGCAATTCCCGTAAGAAGTGCGGTGGGAAAAAGAGCTGCAGAGAAAGACAGTGAATGAGATGATAGAGTACGTGGCAGGCAAGTGCAGGAGGCAGAGGAGAAATTCGTACCCAGGGGCAATTGAAACAATGGGAATGACATAGTGAGCCCATAGTATACTAGTGGCATATACAATCCAAATATAAATGTGCTAGAGCACGGAAAAAAAGCAAAGAAGGCAAAAACTCATTCCAATCTTTTATTATCCAGTGTTCGTGAGCCTGTGTCCACTGTAGCGTCAGTTTTTTGTTCTTAGCTGACAGGAGTAGAATCTAGTGTAGTCTTCCGTAGCTGTAACCCATCTACTTCAAGGTTCGATGTTTTGTGCATCCAGAAATTCTCTTTGCATACCACTGTTGTAATGTGTGGTTATCTGAGTTACTGTCGCCTTCCTGTCAGTTTGAACTAATCCGGCCATTCTCCTCTGATCTTTCCCATAAACAAGGCGTTTTAGCCAACAGAACTGCCGCTCAGTGGATGTTTTCTTCTTCACACCATTCTCTGTAAACTCTAGAGCTTATTGTGCGTGAAAATCCCAGGAGATCAACAGTTTCTGAGATACTCTAACCACCCAGTCTGGCACCAACAATAATATCACATTCAAAGTCACATTTCTTCCCCATCCCTATAATTGGACTGAAAAACAACTGGCTCTGGGGTGCTGCCACATTATTAGCTGATCAGATATTTGCATTTGCATGTGTACAAGTGAACTTAAAAACCAGTAGCCACTGAGTTTATATAAGAAGTGTCAAAGGAATGCGAACACTTGTCAGTGTAATCGAGAAACGCACATGTAAACATAGAAGGATAATAAGATTAGTTGGATGTGAGATAATGATCAATAGTGAGGTGGTAACCGTACTTATTCTCATCCACAGTTTACTGTCCATTCCCTGGAGAGCTGACACACGGACGCGTCCTGCTGGTTGGCAACATGGGCATGTATGAGTACCGCTCATACGTCAAGAAGGTGAGTCACATGTTACTTCTTCGTGAAGGTGAGTCTCATATTCATGTATGAATGATGTTCATTCACTACATCTAGAAGGTGAACTTGTGTTCTTGCTTTACGTCTGTTTATTGTCTCTTATTTATAATTATGGTTTGTTCTCTTTTCTTTACTGTTGTTTTTAATCTTACAACTTTCATGCATATTATCTTAGTTTATATTTCATTATCTAATTATAGTGTCAAACAAACAGACACACTGCACTTGTCTTACCAAATATTCGTGCTGTTATTGTGTGACCTCTAACTCCTGCCTTGTGTGACCTCTAACCTCTGCATTGTGTGACCTCTCACCTAACGCCATGTGACATGTCACTCTTACATGATGTGAACTCTGACCTTTACAACATGCAAAATCTGACTTCTGCATTATGTGACTTCTGACACCTACATCATGCAGCATTTGATTTCTGCATCATATGACTTCTGACCCCTTCATCTGATTTTTAACCCCAACATTATGTGACACCTCTGGTTCTTTCATGTGGCCTCTTTTATCTGCAAAGCCTGACCTATGACCTCTACATCATGCGATCACTCACCCCTACAATGTTACATCTTAGCCCTTCAGTATGTGACTTCTTTTCCCTGCGGTATGTGACCTCTTACTCCTACAATATATGATCTCTTACCTCTAGAATATGTGACCTCTTACCCCTACAATATTTGACCTCATACTACTACAATATGTGACCTCTTACCCCTACAGTATGTGACCTCATACTATTACAACATGTGATCTCTTACCCCTACAATATGTGACCTCCTTACTCCAACAATATGTGACCTCTTACCCCTACAATATGTGACCTCCTTACTCCTACAATATATGACCCCTCACTTCTATAATATGTAACTCCTTCTGCAATATGTAACCCCTTACTTCTGCAATAAGTGACCCCTCAAGCCAACAGTACGTGACCCCTCAAGTCAACAATATGTGACCCCCCTCAAGCCTACAATATGTGGTCCCCTCACTCCTACAGTATGTGACCCTTTCTACAATGCGACCCCATCCACCTACAATGTGTAAACTCTAAACTCTTATACCTAAAATACGTAACTCCAGACTCCTGCAATATGTGATCTCTTACTCCTACAATGTGGCTCCTTATTCCTGCAATATGCATAATTTTATTCATAAAATATGTAACCACTTACTGCTAAAACATGTGCAACAGTTGGGTGTTTTATTGCCCCGGAGTTCGATCACTAGCGCACTCAGCTCACACACACTGGTCCGGAGTTCGAATCTCCGGTACTGCTGGAAAACATTATGGACGTGTTTCCATAAGACACACATCAGTGTAAAATTGGTACATGGGTGTTAGTCGACTGGTGTGGGTGGCATCCTGGGACAAAACTTACCTAATTTGCGGGAAATGCTCAGCATAACAAGCGGCTTTCTATATAGTAGTATGTTATTGATGTCAGCTATGGTCTGTATACCTTGTACATGTACTTGTAGAAATAAATATATATATTTATATTGTTGTTGTTAAAAACGTTTCGCCTACACGGTAAGCGTCTTCTGTTGAGCTCCATGGTTCCAGACCATGGTTCCAGACCATGGTTCCAGACCATGGTTCCAGACCATGGTTCCAGACCATGGTTCCAGACCATGGTTCCAGACCATGGTTCCAGACCATGGTTCCAGACCATGGTTCCAGACCATGGTTCCAGACCATGGTTCCAGACCATGGTTCCAGACCATGGTTCCAGACCATGGTTCCAGACCATGGTTCCAGACCATGGTTCCAGACCATGGTTCCAGACAACGAAGCTGAACTCTTCTCCAGGCTGAGGGACTGACCACCTCAAATACTATTTCTCTAAGGTTAATGGACTGATTACATCATCTGTATTTCACTACTATACCTTCTGCCTCTGTATCTGGTGAAACATTTCAGCAATAAATATACCCAACTGTAACAATGTTTGTAGAATTACCGACAATATGCAGAGTAAAAGGCCACAAGCGCAACTATTGTGATACTTATAAAACTGTCACAATAGTTGCACTTGTGGCCTTTTACTTTACAAATATTCCCAACTATTGCACATGTGTCTTAATCATCAACTTGTCGGTATTTTATACCATTATCAATATGTGATATTTCACCTAACTTGATTAATTTCGGCCTAGCATGAGCCAGTAGGCCTTCTGCAGTTTTCCTCCATTCTTTCTTATGCCTTGTATGGGCCAGTAGGCCTTCTGCAGTGTTCCTCCATTCTTATTTTCTTATGGGCCAGTAGGCCTGCTGCAGTGCTCCTTCTTTCTTATGTTCTTATGTTCTAATTCCTCTTGCAGGTGAGGAACAATCGACAGCTGAGGTTTGCGTGTGACCGCGGATTCTTCTTGGTGGAAGGTCCCCCGGGAGCCACCTGTGTGCACGGCAGGTGGAGCCCCAAGGAAATGCCCAGGTAAAGTCTTTCCTTGGTCTGGTGATAGCCACAACTGGTATGGTGATAGCCACAACTGGTATGGTGATAGCCACAACTGGTATGGTGATAGCCACAACTGGTATGGTGATAGCCACAACTGGTATGGTGATAGCCACAACTGGTATGGTGATAGCCACAACTGGTACGATGATAGCCACAACTGGTATGGTGATAGCCACAACTGGTATGGTGATAGCCACAACTGGTATGGTGATAGCCACAACTGGTATGGTGATAGCCACAACTGGTATGGTGATAGCCACAACTGGTATGGTGATAGCCACAACTGGTATGGTGATAGCCACAACTGGTATGGTGATAGCCACAACTGGTATGGTGATAGCCACAACTGGTATGGTGATAGCCACAACTGGTATGGTGATAGCCACAATTGGTATGGTGATAGCCACAACTGGTATGGTGATAGCCACAACTGGTATGGTGATAGCCACAACTGGTATGGTGATAGCCACAATTGGTATGGTGATAGCCACAACTGGTACGGTGATAGCCACAACTGGTATGGTGATAGCCACAACTGGTATGGTGATAGCCACAACTGGTATGGTGATAGCCACAATTGGTATGGTGATAGCCACAACTGGTATGGTGATAGCCACAACTGGTATGGTGATAGCCACAACTGGTATGGTGATAGCCACAACTGGTAGGTAAAAGACAAGATTAATCCATTGCATAAGGAATCTTCCATACGAAGAGATATTGAAATCCCTTAACCTGCATTCTGTTGTAAGACGTAGAATGAGGAGAGGTATGATAAATAAGACACATGTACAACAGTTAGGTATCTTTACTCCGAAGCGTTTCGCCTACACAGTAGGCTTCTTCAGTCGAGTATGAGGAGTTTGCAGAAGCAGTAGAGATGTGAAGATGATATAATCAGTTCATCGCCCTCAAAGACGTAGTTTTGAGGTGGTCAGTCGCTCAGCCTGGAGAAGAGTTTTGATCCATAGTCTGGAACAAAGAGAAGTTGAAGCGACACTATGGAGATTTATATACTGTAAGGTGAGGCGCAGTTCACTAATAAAAGAAAGGTCAGATCCAACCATTCTCACTTATAAAAGTTGTCCAAGTTGTTTTCTTTACTTAGATATTGTGTTGAAGCGTCTGACAGAGTGAATGTTACAGTTGTATACAATACTGACACGTTGATAAGTACTTATCAACATGTCGGTAATGTATACCACTTTCTTATTCATAAACATATAAGAAGGGAGGAGCACTGCAGCAGGCCTACTGGCCCATACTTGACATGTCCTTGTCAACCCCAAACCCATTTAAAAAATTCCCCCAACCCATTATTAATGTTACCCAAGGAATAAGGTTTGTTAACCCTATTAACTCAAGTACAAGTCCCACTCAAATCCAACCCCTCTCACTCATGTAATTATGTAACCTATATTTGAAGCAACCAAAGGTTTCAGCTTCAATAACCCTATAAAGCTTCTTTGCACTGATCAAGGCATTAAAGAGGATGCAGGAGAGCATTGTGGATGAGGGGAACAAACTCCAGAGTAACGTCATCGAAGCTAAGGTTAAGTGACCTGACCAGTTTAGGTACGTTTAACGGAGTGAGCTTTTCTCAAATAGTGACGAGATTCTGTTCCGTTGCTCCTGACACTCTATTGTTCCGTTGCTCCTAACATTCCATTGTTCCGTTGCTCCTGACGCTCTGTTCTTCCAGCCTTATTCTCTATATTTAGTGAACAAAATTTACAAGATTATCTTCCTTGCTTAACGCCTCCATTCACCAGTGTTGCCAGGTGTCATCACATTCACCAGTGTTGCCAGGTGTCATCACATTCACCAGTGTTGCCAGGTGTCATCACATTCACCAGTGTTGCCAGGTGTCATCACATTCACCAGTGTTGCCAGGTGTCATCACATTCACCAGTGTTGCCAGGTGTCATCACATTCACCAGTGTTGCCAGGTGTCATCACATTCACCAGTGTTGCCAGGTGTCATCACATTCACCAGTGTTGCCAGGTGTCATCACATTTACCAGTGTTGCCAGGTGTCATCACATTCACCAGTGTTGCCAGGTGTCATCACATTCACCAGTGTTGCCAGGTGTCATCACATTCGCCAGTGTTGCCAGGTGTCATCACATTCACCAGTGTTGCCAGGTGTCATCACATTCACCAGTGTTGCCAGGTATCATCACATTCACCAGTGTTGCCAGGTATCATTATATTCACCAGTGTTGCCAGGTGTCATCACATTCACCAGTGTTGCCAGGTGTCATCACATTCACCAGTGTTGCCAGGTATCATCACATTCACCAGTGTTGCCAGGTGTCATCACATTCACCAGTGTTGCCAGGTATCATTATATTCACCAGTGTTGCCAGGTGTCATCACATTCACCAGTGTTGCCAGGTATCATTATATTCACCAGTGTTGCCAGGTGTCATCACATTCACCAGTGTTGCCAGGTATCATCACATTCACCAGTGTTGCCAGGTATCATTATATTCACCAGTGTTGCCAGGTGTCATCACATTCACCAGTGTTGCCAGGTATCATTATATTCACCAGTGTTGCCAGGTGTCATCACATTCACCAGTGTTGCCAGGTGTCATCACATTCACCAGTGTTGCCAGGTATCATTATATTCACCAGTGTTGCCAGGTGTCATCACATTCACCAGTGTTGCCAGGTATCATTATATTCACCAGTGTTGCCAGGTGTCATCACATTCACCAGTGTTGCCAGGTATCATTATATTCACCAGTGTTGCCAGGTGTCATCACATTCACCAGTGTTGCCAGGTATCATTATATTCACCAGTGTTGCCAGGTGTCATCACATTCACCAGTGTTGCCAGGTATCATCACATTCACCAGTGTTGCCAGGTATCATTATATTCACCAGTGTTGCCAGGTGTCATCACATTCACCAGTGTTGCCAGGTATCATTATATTCACCAGTGTTGCCAGGTGTCATCACATTCACCAGTGTTGCCAGGTATCATTATATTCACCAGTGTTGCCAGGTGTCATCACATTCACAGTGTTGCCAGGTATCATTTATTCACCAGTGTTGCCAGGTGTCATCACATTCACCAGTGTTGCCAGGTATCATCACATTCACCAGTGTTGCAGGTTATCATTATATCACCAGTGTTGCCAGTGTCATCACATTCACACAGTGTTGCCAGGTATCATTATTATTCACCAGTGTTGCCAGGTGTCATCACATTCACCAGTGTTGCCAGGTATCATTATATTCACCAGTGTTGCCAGGTGTCATCACATTCACCAGTGTTGCCAGGTATCATTATATTCACCAGTGTTGCCAGGTGTCATCACATTCACCATGTTGCCAGGTATCATTTATCACCAGTGTTGCCAGGTGTCATCACATTCACTAGTGTTGCCAGGTATCATTATATTCACCATGTGTTGCAGGTGTCATCACATTCACCAGTGTTGCCAGGTATCATAATTCACCAGTGTTGCCAGGTGTCATCACATTCACCAGTGTTGCCAGGTATTATATTCACCAGTGTTGCCAGGTGTCATCACATTCACCAGTGTTGCCAGGTATCATCACATTCACCAGTGTTGCCAGGTATCATTATATTCACCAGTGTTGCCAGGTGTCATCACATTCACCAGTGTTGCCAGGTATCATTATATTCACCAGTGTTGCCAGGTGTCATCACATTCACCAGTGTTGCCAGGTATCATTATATTCACCAGTGTTGCCAGGTGTCATCACATTCACCAGTGTTGCCAGGTTCATTATATTCACCAGTGTTGCCAGGTGTCATCACATTCACCAGTGTTGCCAGGTATCATTATATTCACCAGTGTTGCCAGGTGTCATCACATTCACCAGTGTTGCCAGGTATCATCACATTCACCAGTGTTGCCAGGTATCATTATATTCACCAGTGTTGCCAGGTGTCATCACATTCACCAGTGTTGCCAGGTATCATTATATTCACCAGTGTTGCCAGGTGTCATCACATTCACCAGTGTTGCCAGGTGTCATCACATTCACCAGTGTTGCCAGGTGTCATCACATTCACCAGTGTTGCCAGGTGTCATCGTATTCACCAGTGTTGCCAGGTGTCATCACATTCACCAGTGTTGCCAGGTGTCATCACATTCACCAGTGTTGCCAGGTGTCATCGTATTCACCAGTGTTGCCAGGTGTCATCGTATTCACCAGTGTTGCCAGGTGTCATCACATTCACCAGTGTTGTCAGGTGTCATCACATTTACCAGTGTTGCCAGGTATCATTATATTCACCAGTGTTGACAGGTGTCATCGTATTCACCAGTGTTGCCAGGTGTCATCGTATTCACCAGTGTTGCCAGGTGTCATCACATTTACCAGTGTTGCCAGGTGTCATCACATTCACCAGTGTTGTCAGGTGTCATCACATTCACCAGTGTTGCGAGGTGTCATCACATTCACCAGTGTTGTCAGGTGTCATCACATTCACCAGTGTTGTCAGGTGTCATCGTATTCACCAGTGTTGTCAGGTGTCATCGTATTCACCAGTGTTGCCAGGTGTCATCGTATTCACCAGTGTTGCGAGGTGTCATCACATTCACCAGTGTTGCCAGGTGTCATCACATTCACCAGTGTTGTCATGTGTCATCGTATTCACCAGTGTTGCCAGGTGTCATCACATTCACCAGTGTTGCCAGGTGTCATCACATTCACCAGTGTTGCCAGGTGTCATCACATTCACCAGTGTTGCCAGGTGTCATCACATTCACCAGTGTTGCCAGGTGTCATCACATTCACCAGTGTTGCCAGGTGTCATCACATTCGCCAGTGTTGCCAGGTGTCATCACATTCACCAGTGTTGCCAGGTGTCATCAACATGAACCCAGGATCCTATGTCAACATTCTGTCAGGAACATTATCTTAGACACTGTTAGTAACACATGTCAGCAACATTGCCAGGAAAGCTGTCAGAAGTGTTGTCAAGAGCATTTTGCCAGCAATATTTTGTCAACAATTTTAAGTCAACAACAGTGTCATCAATATTATGTCGTCGTTATTTCAGCAGTGAGTTAGACACATGTGCAACACTTCGGTATCTTCTTTGAGGAAACGTTTCGCCACACAGTGACTTCATCAGTCCTATACATAGAAGAATGGTGAAGATCAGAAGGAGTTTGAGGTAATCAGTCCCTCAGCCTTGAGTCCATGTAATCAGTCCATCAATCTTGAAAAGAATACAGTATATGTGCAAAGAAGTGGCTTATATACTGTGGACAGGAGAGGTGCAGCAGTCGTAGGTGGTGTCACATTTGGTGAATCCACGTGTGGAAGTTGGTCATGCCTGAAGGTTAGGCAAATGAAGAATTCCCTGTAGTAATTAAGATCCCTAGATGTTGCTGATTACATCGACTTAAGGCTGAGGGACTGATTACCTCAAACTCCTTCTGATCTTCACCATTCTCCTTTGTATGGACTGATGAAGCCACTGTGTGGCGAAACATTTCCTCAATAAAGATACGCAAGTCTTGCACAAGTGTCTAATTTATCAACCTGTCGGTTCTCTCAACCATTTATCCATATATCAGCAGTGTTACGTCAGCATCATTTACCAAAAACATTAAGTCAGCAACACTGTGTTAGCAACATCATTAGGACAATGTAGAAGTTTAAACTGGAGAGCAGCAGTAAAGCGAACACTCCAGGATTGGTTTTGTTGTGGTAAACGTCGGGACAATAAACTATGGCTTATTAGTTTTTCCCTCTCGTTTTCTTCTACAATGTGGAGGAGGCGGTGGCGAGGAGTGTTGCAAACAGTGATACCCAGATGTTGCAAAAGTGTTTCATTTATCAACCATGAATCTGAGAGAGAACATGAAACCTTCGTTTATTGCGGCGTATATGTCTTGAGGTTATCATCATCATCATCATCATCATCATCATCATCATCATCATCATCATCATCATCATCATCATCATCATCATCATCATCATCATCATCATCATCATCATCATCATCATCATGGGTGTCCGTAAACAGTGTTATCTCAGGCATATTTCCACACGTGTACTCTACGGGGTTCTGGGATGTGGTTAAGTTTGTAACAGAAGGATTTAAAATTTCAATCTAACCACGGTACGGGTGGAGTTTGAACCAGTGGCTTATGCACTGGCCTGGAGTTTTACGACTCACTCGTCATGGGTTCACCCCCCTCCTCCCCCCCATCCCCTCGTTCCGTGGTTCGGAGACTTGCCACTGATCATTAAAACCCTAAAGTAGATCTTTCGATTTTTGGGGCTGTGGTAGACTCGTGTTACTAGATAGCTTTGAAGGACTCCTAATTTCAGACATTCTTGTAAAAGTTTTTAGAGGCAATAGTTGATTCTATCGCACACTCCAATGTTTGAGTAAGAGATTTAGTTCAAACTCCGCCTTTGTTGCATCTTTGCCCTCTCATCTTGTAACAAAAGTTCACTATCGTGTCACGAATGATTATTTCTTCCCTACAGGTGTAAGCCAGACCTCCACCCGAGATTCCGCTGGCTTAAGAGGTCAGTAAACGCTACTGAGTTCGAGGATGGTCGCAATACAACTCTTAAGGGTATCTCTGGAAAAGGTGACACAGAGAGCGCTCCTAGCAGTGTCAAAGAATGGCAGACAGCATCGCGGACCAGGTCTACAAATGGCAAGACTTGGGAAAAACAAACGGGCGAAGACCCAATCATCAACGAAGGCAAGAGAGGAAACTCTGGCGTAGAAAAGTTATACCCATCAACACCTAGCGTGTTACTACTACCGAAACACTTCCAACTTACTACTGCCGCTATTCCTATTAAAATGCTTTCAAACCTCCCCGTTTCCTCCCCATCCAATAACCTTCCAAGAGGTGCAAATCCTGTCTCTTCAGATATTCAGGAAAGCGTAAATTTAGGAAATCTCCGACCCCCTCTTGTCGATTTGTACAGACTCCTGCAAGCAAAAAACGAGCAATACAAACAGAAAATGGAAAACCAAGAGTGGACTTCCCTAGTGAGAGTTCCCAGAAATGTTGCTGAAAAAGAGAAGAAAGACAAGAATCGAAAAAGAAGGAATAAATGGAAGAAAAAGGGAAAGCGAGGTTAGTTTAGACCAGGTTGGGTTTCTTGCACCATCACAGTTTATCTCTTTTAGATGACCAGTACTGTTTATTTTTGTCAGGTAAAACGTAAACTCGAAGACCACTAAACGCATTCCCAGTTTCGAAATACAGAGTGTCCCAGCTCACCTACTCCAAGTAACACCAGGTCCCTTTCACAATTCTTAAAGAGGCAGCTTTGCCACAAGTAAAATTTGATGCTTCTGTACCAAGTAACAAGATTCTATCCCATTCTATCCCTTTCTTCTTACGCCAAGTAACATTAGGTTCCTATTTTCCTTCATCGAGTAAGACCAGATTCATCTCTCATTGCCACATGTAACACCTAGTTTCTCTATCCCTGCTTCTAGTAACACAATAGCTTCCTCACCTTGTTCCAACCTTATCATTCTCTGCTCGTGTTCCAAGTAACACATGGGGTTCTTCTCTTAAAACACACATAAAACACCAAAATTATCTCTCCCCGTGTTCCCAACAACACTGTGGTCCTCCCTCCCTCCCTGCCCCTCAAAGATGCCTTCATGGGGAGTACATGCTCTTGATCTAAGAAATTCGATCTGTCCTCCTGTTCCTTGAACTATAATTGATTTTTCCCATCCCCTCTGGGCTCTGCGCTTACCAATAATAATAATAATAATAATAATAATAATAATAATAATAATAATAATAATAATAATAATAATAATAATAATAATAATAACAACAACACATAGAAGCATTTTGGTAGCTGCAGGATCCGAGGACGGTATCCACTTATTCTATAACCCAGCCCCCTGTGTATCAATGCACGCGGCTGGAATAGTGCAGAGTGCGGCATAAGGTGATAATGCAGTTAAATATTAAGAGTGAAGATTTGAAGGGAATCAGAAAAGACCTTCACAAACCATCATATGGAAACTAATATTCGAAATTCTTTAATAAAAAGAATATATGAAGATATGCTTAGCCTAAATCTAATTAAGACCTTTCAGACAGACCAACGAGACCAACATCCTAAAATACACCAGCACATTAAGTTTGAAGCCGCCCATAAGTTGTGAACACAGAGGAGGTGAAGTTAATCAGATGCCACACTCACACAGACCAAAACCAATCTAAACTTTTCCTTAAGGAAGAATAACGAGCTTTTAAGAATACAAATACAATAAGTAAGTTTTACATAATCATAGTGTACAAAAAAATAAAAATTAAAAAAAAAATGGTCTTGAGGCTACACTGGTGTTGTAGGTATTTAAAAGAACATTAAGCTAATTTAAACACTCTTACTTATTTGTGATAAAAAAAGAACCGTTTCTAAATTCTTTCAACAAAAAAAATTAGTAAAAATTAGCTCATAATAATTTACACAAGCTAACATATATATTTTAATCCAAGGAAACACTAAACCCATAGAGGTGATATAGCGACAGTAATATGGGAGGTATTTAAATTCGATTCAAGCAAGTGAAAATAAGTCCATTTTCTTCAGTCAAGATTCTCTCACAAACATCAAGACAAAATAATGATATAAGGTAAAACAATATTATACCACTTCAAGATTAATACCAAAAGGTCTCACTTTACAAGTAATACGACGTAAATAATACCAGGTAACACCTCTGTCTTCACAAGCAGAAACAGATAACACTACCTTCTCCCCAAGTAACACCAGGTAACTCCCACTACAAGTAACTTTCACCTCATAACAGCCTTTCTCCGTCACATGCAACACTAGATAACTATCCCACCGGTAGCAGTAACACTTCCCCTTCCCCAAGTAACACCAGGTAACACTAACTCCTCCCCACCGCCACAGACTCCCCCGCCGTGCCTCACTGCGAGCCTATCGCCAGCGAGCCGTACCTACGTGTCGAGGTAATACGGAAGGGTCGGGACAGCAACTACACGTACTCAGCAGGTGCCAGGATCAAAGTGACGTGTCTTCACGGCTACGGTCTCAACATTGGCAACAGGACTGCAAAGTGTGCACGTAGGGGCAAGTGGAAACCAATGAAACCTCAGTGTGTTACCTGTGAGTATGTTACCTCTGAATGTGTTACTTCTGAGTGTGTTACCTGAGTATGTTACCTCTGAATGTGTTACTTCTGAGTGTGTTACCTGTGTGTGTGTATGAGCGTACGTGAATAAGAGTATTTACACGTGTCCAGTATCTTGTGTTCCTTTAACGTTCTTATCTTTGCTAAGATCCAGAGAATATATCTCACTTTCCTTACATCAAATAAGAACATAATAATGTAGGAACACTGCAGAAGACCTACTGGCCCATACAAGGCAAGTTCTTATCAAAATGACCTCTACCCAAAGCTACCCAAGAATTTACTCCCGTACCCAATGACACAAATAAAACCCAGCCCCTCCCACTCATATATTTGTCCAATCTCTTTTTAAAGCTGCCCAAAGTCTTAGCCTCTATCACCCTATTGGGAAGATTGTTCCACGCATCCACAACTCTGTTAGAAAACCAGTACTTACCTATGTCCTTTCTAAATCTAAATTAAACCAACTTAAATCCATTATTTCTGGTTCTTACCTGGTTCGACACCCTCAGTACTTTATTAATATCTCCTTTGTTTATGCCCGTCATCCACTTATACACTTCAATGATATCTCCCTTCATTTTTCTACACATTGGTGTTTTCCACTATATGACGGTGCGTACCTCTACGTTCGTGCAGTGCCGTGCTCGGTACCCGAGGCTCCTCACGGACAGTTTGAGTTCAACGGGGTGGCCGTGGTGGAGCGCGCTATCATCAGTCATGGCGAGGTAGTGAAGTTCTCCTGCCAGAGCGGCTACAACGTCCTGGGCTCCGACACTATGAGGTGCTGGTACGGCGCCTGGGCCGTCACCGGCAAGAACCCAGAGTGCATACCAAGTGAGTACCAGGTCCAGAGTGCATACCAAGTGAGTACCAGGTCCAGAGTGCATACCAAGTGAGTACCAGGTCCAGAGTGCATACCAAGTTAATACCAGGTCCAGAGTGCATACCAAGTTAATACCAGGTCCAGAGTGCATACCAGATATCAGGTGCAGAGTGCATACAAAGTGAGTACCAGGTCTAGAGTGCATATCAAATAAGTATAAGGTCCAGAGTGCATACCAGGTGAGTACCAGGTCCAGAGTGCATACCAAATAAGTACCAGGTCCAGAGTGCATACCAAGTGAGTGCCAGATCCAGAGTGCATAACAAGTACCATGTCCAGAGTGCATAACAAGTACCAGATCCAGAGTGCATACCAAATGAATACTAGGTCGAAAATTTATACAAAATACCAGTCCCAGATTTCAACTTGAGTACCTAATCAAGAGAGCATTCCAAATGATTACCAGGTTCAGAGTGTATATAGAGTACCAGGTAGGAAAGTGATACCTAGAGAGTACCAGGTTAAGAATACATATCACAAGTCTAATTTTTTTTAACGTCTTCTCTCTCACTTTCCCCGCTAGCGAGTGTTTTAACCTCCTGGCATACACCCGGTTTCATCCCCAGCAATACCTCAACCTCATCCGTCTCCCCAGATGCCCACCCAAGCTTATTTCCCAGACAAGGACTGAGCACCAACACCCATCTTGCTACGGCAAGGTGTGCAAGCCAATAGTGTATACCTGCGCTCGTAATAAGGAGTGCCTGTCCTGAAGTTTGTGTCTCCGTATTGTTTCTACGAGCCTGCCTTCAGTATTGCAAGGAGTACAGGCTAATAGTCAACGCCTGTGCCCGTAATATATCCACTGTTAACTTTTCACCCAGACAACTGCGTGCTACCCGACCTGAGCCACGGGAAGTACACAGCCGGCTACAAGAAAGGCTTGACGATCATACACGGAGCATCGGTTGGCTACGCCTGTGACGACGGCTGGCTTATTGGCGTGACGGACGTCTCCTGCTATCTAGGGATGCTGAGCCCCGCTCCCCCGGCGTGCGTCACCCCAGTACACACCGTTGAGACCGTCAACAACGAGCCTGTCTCCCCAGTCAAGAGAGAACACTCCAACGGACCTCACACCAGCGGTAAGGCAGAGGAGCCAAGTTCATACTGTGGTCTACTGTGTGTGCACTGCAGATGTAAAGTATAAGTGTTTGTGTGAACTGGTGGAGATGGAGAGTGTAAGATTATTGTGTACTGGAAAAGATGGAGAGTATAGGTGTTCGTGAATGCTCATAAGAGAATGAGGAGAATGTCTGTACTTTTTTTTGAGATGAGAGAGATGATGATGGGTGAGTGTACTAAGGAAGATAAAGTGAAAAGACGAGAAATTTGTTTCCTGTAGAATATGGAGAAGAGAGATAAACCCGTCCTGGAAAAGACAAGGTAATAATGGTAACGAAAAAATAAACGTTGATACTTTTTATTGCGTCATGGACTATTATGTACATAATACTAGGATTACAAACTGATGCACAAGCACGCGCGCACACGTACGCGCGCACACGCACGCGCGCACACGCACATGCCTCAGAGCGGCCAGGAGTGGAAAGACCTAGACAGCGAAGTGGTTATATAATATTTTAAGAAAATCGACAAACTAATGAAGGAAAATTTTATACAACACTTGGGTAACTTTATAGTGGAAACGTTTCTCCGTCCAATGGCTTTCTCAGTCCAATATAGAGAAGAGCGGTGGAAGATGACAAAGAGTTTGAGGTAATCAATCCCTCTTTGTATTAGACTGATAAAGCCACTGGCTGGCGAAACGTTTCCTCTACTAGTGGTAGAGGAGGGATCCATACATAGTCTTAAGAATAGGTGTGATAGGACTCACATAGCTCCTGGGCCGGAGAGGCGGGGCCAGGAGCTGAGACTTGTTCCCTGAAACAACAAATTGATGAGTACTACTACGTAAATGCAGAGGAGAGAGAGAGATTTTGGGAGATGTTAAGTGAATGTATAGGAGCATTTGAACCAAGTGAGAGAGTAATTGTGGTAGGGGACCTGAATGCTAAAGTAGGAGAAACTTTTAGAGAGGGTGTGGTAGGTAAGTTTGGGGTGCCAGGTGTAAATGATAATGGGAGCCCTTTGATTGAACTTTGTATAGAAAGGGGTTTAGTTATAGGTAATACATATTTTAAGAAAAAGAGGATAAATAAGTATACAAGATATGATGTAGGGCGAAATGACAGTAGTTTGTTGGATTATGTATTGGTAGATAAAAGACTGTTGAGTAGACTTCAGGATGTACATGTTTATAGAGGGGCCACAGATATATCAGATCACTTTCTAGTTGTAGCTACGCTGAGAGTAAAAGGTAGATGGGATACAAGGAGAATAGAAGCATCAGGGAAGAGAGAGGTGAAGGTTTATAAACTAAAAGAGGAGGCAGTTAGGGTAAGATATAAACAGCTATTGGAGGATAGATGGGCTAATGAGAGCATAGGCAATGGGGTCGAAGAGGTATGGGGTAGGTTTAAAAATGTAGTGTTAGAGTGTTCAGCAGAAGTTTGTGGTTACAGGAAAGTGGGTGCAGGAGGGAAGAGGAGCGATTGGTGGAATGATGATGTAAAGAGAGTAGTAAGGGAGAAAAAGTTAGCATATGAGAAGTTTTTACAAAGTAGAAGTGATGCAAGGAGGGAAGAGTATATGGAGAAAAAAGAGAGGTTAAGAGAGTGGTGAAGCAATGTAAAAAGAGAGCAAATGAGAGAGTGGGTGAGATGCTATCAACAAATTTTGTTGAAAATAAGAAAAAGTTTTGGAGTGAGATTAACAAGTTAAGAAAGCCTAGAGAACAAATGGATTTGTCAGTTAAAAATAGGAGAGGAGAGTTATTAAATGGAGAGTTAGAGGTATTGGGAAGATGGAGGGAATATTTTGAGGAATTGTTAAATGTTGATGAAGATAGGGAAGCTGTGATTTCGTGTATAGGGCAAGGAGGAATAACATCTTGTAGGAGTGAGGAAGAGCCAGTTGTGAGTGTGGGGGAAGTTCGTGAGGCAGTAGGTAAAATGAAAGGGGGTAAGGCAGCCGGGATTGATGGGATAAAGATAGAAATGTTAAAAGCAGGTGGGGATGTAGTTTTGGAGTGGTTGGTTGCAATTATTTAATAAATGTATGGAAGAGGGTAAGGTACCTAGGGATTGGCAGAGAGCATGCATAGTTCCTTTGTATAAAGGCAAAGGGGATAAAAGAGAGTGCAAAAATTATAGGGGGATAAGTCTGTTGAGTATACCTGGTAAAGTGTATGGTAGAGTTATAATTGAAAGAATTAAGAGTAAGACGGAGAATAGGATAGCAGATGAACAAGGAGGCTTTAGGAAAGGTAGGGGGTGTGTGGACCAAGTGTTTACATTTGAAACATATAAGTGAACAGTATTTAGATAAGGCTAAAGAAGTCTTTGTGGCATTTATGATTTGGAAAAGGCGTATGACAGGGTGGATAGGGGGGCAATGTGGCAGATGTTGCAGGTGTATGGTGTGGAGGTAGGTTACTGAAAGCAGTGAAGAGTTTTTACGAGGATAGTGAGGCTCAAGTTAGAGTATGTAGGAAAGAGGGAAATTTTTTCCCAGTAAAAGTAGGCCTTAGACAAGGATGTGTGATGTCACCGTGGTTGTTTAATATATTATAGATGGGGTTGTAAGAGAAGTAAATGCGAGGGTCTTGGCAAGAGGCGTGGAGTTAAAAGATAAAGAATCACACACAAAGTGGGAGTTGTCACAGCTGCTCTTTGCTGATGACACTGTGCTCTTGGGAGATTCTGAAGAGAAGTGCAGAGATTGGTGGATGAATTTGGTAGGGTGTGCAAAGAAGAAAATTAAAGGTGAATACAGGAAAGAGTAAGGTTATGAGGATAACAAAAAGATTAGGTGATGAAAGATTGGATATCAGATTGGAGGGAGAGAGTATGGAGGAGGTGAACGTATTCAGATATTTGGGAGTGGACGTGTCAGCGAATGGGTCTATGAAAGATGAGGTGAATCATAGAATTGATGAGGGAAAAGAGTGAGTGGTGCACTTAGGAGTCTGTGGAGACAAAGAACTTTGTCCTTGGAGGCAAAGAGGGGAATGTATGAGAGTATAGTTTTACCAATGCTCTTATATGGGTGTGAAGCGTGGGTGATGAATGTTGCAGCGAGGAGAAGGCTGGAGGCAGTGGAGATGTCATGTCTGAGGGCAATGTGTGGTGTGAATATAATGCAGAGAATTCGTAGTTTGGAAGTTAGGAGGAGGTGCGGGATTACCAAAACTGTTGTCCAGAGGGCTGAGGAAGGGTTGTTGAGGTGGTTCGGACATGTAGAGAGAATGGAGCGAAACAGAATGACTTCAAGAGTGTATCAGTCTGTAGTGGAAGGAAGGCGGGGTAGGGGTCGGCCTAGGAAAGGTTGGAGGGAGGGGGTAAAGGAGGTTTTGTGTGGGAGGGGCTTGGACTTCCAGCAGGCATGCGTGAGCGTGTTTGATAGGAGTGAATGGAGACAAATGGTTTTTAATACTTGACGTGCTGTTGGAGTGTGAGCAAAGTAACATTTATGAAGGGGTTCAGGGAAACCGGCAGGCCGGACTTGAGTCCTGGAGATGGGAAGTACAGTGCCTACACTCTGAAGGAGGGGTGTTAATGTTGCAGTTTAAAAACTGTAGTGTAAAGCACCCTTCTGGCAAGACAGTGATGGAGTGAATGATGGTGAAAATTTTTCTTTTTCGGGCCACCCTGCCTTGGTGGGAATCGGCCAGTGTGATAATAATAAAAAAAAATAATAATTCTACGTAAATACACGTCACTCATATAGAATACAAGGTGAGACGGCTCACCCTGACTAAGGTACAACAACGTTCGTCTTACGACTGACTGAACGTCAATTAGCATCTACAAACAATATCGGGTAATACACATAAGGTGATTAAAGTGGAAAAAATGCACACTGAGGAAGGTGTAGCTGATTTAAAGAAATATTGAGAATATTAAGCCTGGAAGGTAGTGAGGGGACCAACTGAGGTTAAGAGGTGAGGTAAACCCGTATGTTTCCATCAAGGGATAAGCGCTTTATTGTGATTATAGTATAAAAATTCTGAACGGCTGAACCTTCGTAGGAAATGTGTGGATGGTTTCATGAGTTACGGCTGTGTAGGCACAGCCTACACAGCCGTCAGGAAAACACAGGTGTGTTTTCCTCAAGTCATCATATAAGTTATCATGTGCCAATTATACAACTTACATTGTTTTCTTCTAGGTTATCATAGGTTAAATTAACATAATATTTTATGCGTCTATAACACGTGTGTCCTCAAGACCAATCATAATCATATATTTTTATGCACACTAGCCAGACCTTAAACTTATCTAGTTACATTTTACCTTAAAAATCTAGTGAATCTTTCTTAGAGAAAAGTTTGGAGTGATCTTAGTCTGCATAGATCGTAGATCACTTTTCAAAAATTTTAAATGCTGCATTTCACGCGATAATTTTTGCGTGCCGCATATAATTACCTCCAAAGCTTCCGTGCTGTAGCGACATAATGCAGCTTCTGATCATAATGTTAGTATTATCACCTTATGTCGCCCACTGTTACAGTCGCTTGTATTAAAGTATACAGTAATGGGATTATGGAATACGGGGATACCTTCCTGGGATCATTAAGGCACAAGGTACTGGGATTATGGAATACGGGAATACCTTCCTGGGATCATTAAGGCACAAGGTACTGGGATTATGGAATACGGGGATACCTTCTTGGGATCATTAAGGCACAAGATACTGGGATTATGGAATACGGGGATACCTTCCTGGGATCATTAAGGCACAAGGTACTGGGATTATGGAATACGGGAATACCTTCCTGGGATCATTAAGGCACAAGGTACTGGGATTATGGAATACGGGAATACCTTCCTGGGATCATTAAGGCACAAGGTACTGGGATTATGGAATACGGGGATACCTTCCTGGGATCGCGCAGCGGTCGGAAGACGATACTCAGAATAATTCTTGTGTAACAGATTTTCAAGCGACCGACGCTCCTTCCTGTCTTCCAAGATTCATGTTAAAATTCACAGAGACTTAATAAAAATGCTGAACGTTATAT